TGGTGCTTTTGGCAACAGCAATGGTGTTAACTAAAGATGCATCTGGTACTTTTCAACTCTGTAGAGTGTTATTAGATTCATGCTCGCAGGTCAATTTAATATCGGAATCGATGTGTAATGCACTTCATCTAAAAAAGTCACGAAGTGAAAACAGTCTTGTTGGTGTAGGAGCTGCATCAATAAATATTAAACACAAAACTATAAGTACGATACGTTCAAGGTCAAACAGTTTTGAAGCAGTACTTGAGTTTCTCGTTACCAAAAGAATTTCTGGATATCACCCTAATGAAACACTGTCGTTAGAAGAGTTGCAAATTCCTGAAAATCTTCAATTAGCTGATCCGACATTTTACAAACGCCAAAAAATTGATATGTTACTTGGTGCAGAAGCTTTCTTTTCACTGCTAGCAGTAGGCCAAATAAAACTTGGTGAGAATTTACCGACTTTACAAAAAACTTTGTTCGGCTGGATTATTTCAGGAAAACATTGTTCTACTAAAGATTCCAAAATTGTTTCATCCCATTGTGTTGTCAGCTTGGATACAATTAATGCGAACTTGGAACGGTTGTGGCAGATAGAGGAACCAGTTCATCCACCATCAGTATGGTCAGTAGAAGAACAGCAATGCGAAACCAACTTTCAAAAAACTGTAGCTCTCAGTAACGATGGCCGAATTATGACAAGGTTGCCATTCAAAGGCGACACAAGTACTCTTGGAAATTCTCAGAAAATTGCATTAAGAAGATTTTTATCTATGGAAAGAAGACTTGACTCCAATATTGAGTTAAAATTGGAATATGTGAAATTTATGCAAGATTACGAAAATCTCGGACATATGTCGATGGTTAAGGATTTGGATTTATAATCTCCCCACTATTTTATCCCACATCATTATGTAATTAAACCAGATAGCACAACTACTAAAGTACGTGTAGTTTTTCAGCTCGCACATCATCACAAGTGTCATTAATTGAGTTATTAATGGTGGGCCCTACAATCCAAAATGAACTTGTAATAACATTATTAAGATTTCGATTATATCAATATGGAATAACGGCTGACATAACAATAATGTATAGACAATTTTGGCTACATCCAAGTGATCGCAATTTTCAACTAATTTTGTGGCGTGAGCATAAATCGCAAAATATTTCAGTTTATCAACTGAATATTGTTATATATGGTACGAGTTCTGCGCCATTTCTTGCAACTCGGTGCTTACACTACATTGCAGATAACTATCCTTACCGTAAAGAAACAGGTAAAATGATATTAAAAAGGGATTTTTATGTCGATGACATGATCTCAGGAGCAGATGACTTGGAGACATTGCAAGCCATCAAAAACGAAACTACCAAAACATTGGATTTTTACAACTTATCGTTAACAAAGTGGAATAGTAACAATGTTAACATCACTACACCAAATGTTAAACTTACAGATATTGAGACTGTAAGAGATATGGCATGCCCACTTGGAATGTTATGGAATACGAAAGAAGACTATTTTTGCTTCACTTTTCAATCAACCAATATACCAGCAAGTCATACTAAACGAAACATTTTGTCATTAGCATCATCTTTATATGATCCTTTGGGTCTAATTACTCCACTTATCATCAAAGCTAAGATTTTGTTACAGCAACTATGGATAATTGGATGTGATTGGGATGAATCCGTACCTTAAGAAATTTACACAACATGGAACAAAATTCTTGCTGATTTGCATCAAGTGGTACTTCTTAAAATTCCTAAGTTCACTCGAATCAAGAACTCAATTAACATGCAAGTACATGGCTTCAGCGACGCATCAATTAGAGCATACGGATGTTGTATCTATCTACGTTGTCAAGATAATTTTGGCAATGTTAATGTTCATTTATTAACTTCCAAATCCCGAGTTGCTCCTGTGAAAGCAAGATCATTACCACGTCTTGAATTGTGTGCCGCCCATCTTCTTGCTGGATGCTGGAACAAGATTAAAGATAATTTATTATATTATATTAATAACATATACTTTTGGTCTGATTCACAGATTACTTTACATTGGATTAGTTCTCATTCTTCAACACTAGCGGCCTTTGTTGGTAATCGAGTTGCTGACGTTCAAGAATGGTCGGTAAATGCGTTTTGGCGCCATGTACCAACCGATCAGAATCCAGCTGATCTCGTTTCTAGAGGGTGTACCGTCCCAGAATATCTGTCATCAAATTGGTTCAAAGGACCTTCATTCTTAATGTTGCCGTGGCCAAACTGGCCAGAACATTCAATAAATCAACTAACAGTTGACGAACGCAAGTTAGAAATTCGCAAACTAGTGTGCATTTTGGAAGATATCAAACTGTCGTATTTGCAACAGAGACTTCATCAGATAAGCAATTATAACAAATGTCTACGTATGGTTGCGCTGATGCTAAGATGGCACCACAAGCACGAGGCACAAATTCAATCATTATTCGTGATAAATGAAATACAACGCGCTCTGTTGCATATTGTATATATTATTCAACAACACTATTTTCACAAGGATATAGTAGATTTACACAACTCAAACCAATTACGAAGCTAGCTGTATTACCAATTAATTGAACCTGACGGTCTCAATGGGGGCCGGTATGTTAAGTCAATTGGGTTCTCGTATACTTAGTTTAAGTTCAATTATTTAATATGTACTTACAACTAACAAAAAAGCTTTGAATAGCCGCAGCTTTTCATTTGTTTTGTTTTTGTTTCCTATTGTTAATAATATGTTTGAAGAATAAAAGTCAGTGGTATGTGAACTACTCAAGCGAAAGGTGTGTTTGGATTTATATAAAATCAAAGAGAATAGAAAAAACTATTAAATTAAATAGTTTTCGATCACCGGATTAAGGCAAAATTTTTCTTCATCACTCTAATATGTGCACATGCCCCGACGGAAGATAAAGATGACGACACCAAGGAAATTTTCTATGAACAGCTTGAACAAGCATATGAACGCTGTCCCCATCATGACATCAAAATCGTTGTTGGAGACTTCAACACAAAGGTGGGTAAAGAAGGTATCCTTGGTGCCACTGTCGGAAAGTTCAGCCTTCACACGAAAACTTCTGATAATGGAAGAAGGCTGATTGATTTCGCCGCGGCTAGAAACATGGTGGTTAGTAGTACCAGATTCCAACATCTCAACATACATAAGACAACATGGCTGTCACCGAATTAAAACTCAAGATCTCAAATTGATCGCGTTGTGATAGACGGAAGGCATGCTTTCAGTGTCTTGGATGTACGTACTATCCGAGGAGCCATCATCGACTCGGATCATTACCTTGTTGCATCCAAGATCCGCACACGTTTATGTGCGATGAGAAAGGTACGTGAACAAGCAGAGCGAAAGCTAGACGTCGAAAAGCTGCAATCACAACAGACAGCTAATGACTTCGCTACTCGACTCTCCCAATATCTGGAAAATTCATCTGAAGAAGCCGATATATGCGCGCAATGGAACCACATCTCCAACTCTATGTGTATTGCTGCAGAAGAGGTGATCGGCTATCACCGTATACAAAGAAACAGCTGGTACGACCAAGGGTGTCGCAATGCTACCGCAGAGAAAGACGCAGCATATCAAGCCATCCTGCGGTCAGTTGCGACGCGTGCTGTTAAAGAGCGATATCGGCAAAAGAGAAGGGAAGAGAAACGTCTTTTCAGGCGAAAAAAGAAGGAAACAGAAAGACGTGAGTACGAAGAGCTTGAGAAGCTAGACGACAAAAATATGGCTCGAAAATTCGATCAAAAACTTAAAAGCCTGACAAATGGTTATAAACCCGGAGCTAATTCCTGCAAAGATGAAAACGGTGATCTGGTGATAGATGTCCAAAGCCTGCTTAATATTTGGAGGGATCACTTCCCGAAACTATTAAATGGCGGTAGTAGCAATGTGACTGAAAGCGAAGATGATCCCGAATTTTCAATCGTTGACGATGAAATAATCGTTCCGCCTCCCGATCATAATGAAGTTAAAACAGTTATAACGCGGCTCAAAAACAACAAAGCTGTAGGCGCCGATGGTTTACCGGCTGAGCTGTTTAAAGCTGTTGGCGAAGAGCTATCAAAATGCATGCTACAGCTAATTCGCAACATTTGGTCGGATGAATGCATGCCCAACGATTGGAATTTAAGTGTGCTTTGCTCAATCCACAAAAAAGGTGATCCTGCAAACTGCGCCAACTACCGCGGGATCAGTCTTTTAAATATCGCATATAAGGTTCTATCAAACGTACTATGTGAAAGATTGAAGCCAATCGTCAACCAACTGATTGCACCTTATCAGTGTGGCTTCAGACCTGGCAAATCCACTCTAGACCAAATACTCACAGTGCGTCAAATCCTGGAGAAGACTCAAGAAAAACAAATCGAAACACACCACCTATTTGTCGACTTCAAAGCTGCTTTTGACACTACGACTAGAAGCACACTCTATGCCGCTATGTCTGAATTTGGTATCCCAGCAAAACTTATACGGCTATGTAAAATGACGTTGAGCAACACCACCAGCTCCGTTAGAATTGGAAAGAACATCTCTGAGCCGTTTGATACCAAACGAGGTTTCAGACAGGGTGACTCCTTGTCGTGTGACTACTTTAACCTAATGTTGGAAACGATAATTCGAGCAGCAGATTTAAACCGTACTGGCACAATATTCTAAAAAAGTGTAATGCTGCTTGCGTATTCCGACGATATTGATATCATTGGTCTGAACACCCGCGTCGTCAGTGCGGCATTTTCCAACTTAGAAAAACAAGCAAAACAAATGGGTCTTGTGGTAAATTAGGACAAAATAAAGTACTTTCTGTCAACAAACAAATCTCCTGAGCGTCTTGGGACCTACGTCACTGTTGACAATTATAAGTTCGAAGTTGTGAAAGACTTCGTTTATTTAGGAACCAGCTTAAACACCAAAAATGACGTCAGGCTAGAGATTCAACGAAGAATTACTCTTGCCAACAAATATTACTTCGGGCTAAGTAAGCAATTGAGAAATAAAGCCCTCTCTCGACAAACAAAAATCAGGCTCTACAAATACCTTATCATGCCTGTCGTGCTGTATGGTGCAGAAGCTTGGACAATTACCAACAGTGATGAGAAGGCGTTAGGAGCATTCGAGAGAAAAATTCTTCGGAAGATCTATGGTTCCTTACGCGTTGGCGACGAGTATCGATTAAAATGGAACGATGAGCTGTATGAGCTATACCGCGATATTAACATAGTTAAGCGCATAAAAATTCAGCGGCTACGCTGGCT